TTTAATGAAGACAGATAAATACAATTGATCTTGAAATATGTAACACAATTTGTATTCATCTTTATAAAATATAAATATTGAAAGACATCCTAATTTATAAATGAAAAAAAACAAACAAACAACAACCCAAAAAACAGAAATGTATACAACAAATACAAACTTAATGGTCTTTCAATGAAAGACAGCAGATTAAAACTGGATGATTAAAGAACTTAATTTCTGATCACTTTATTGCCTTGGCTGTTTTTGTAGTCTGATGAACCTGACTCACATATCAAAGTGCATTCACATATACACAATATTTTTATGATCAAACATTTATACTTTTTTTTTTCTCTTTAGAGGAAACTTGTGCAGACTGGTTTTCATTCATTTTATTCATGGTCTGCTGCTGTATCCCCAGGACAGTTAGCGCACAAGTCCTCTTCATCTGTAAAATAGAAATCAATACATTATATACACATACACAGTATGAGCAATGGCAATACAAAAGAACCTTAAAAGCTACAGCACTAAAGACATCACACCTACCATTATAGGTGGTCCCACACCATATGCAATAAAAATGGACTCCTCTCAAATAGGATGTCAAAATTTGTAGTTTATCAAAAGACTGCAACAGAAAACCACATATCACATTTAATATTCATTGGGATAATTTTGCCATTAAATCCTATAAGATGCATTCATGTTTTTTCAGCTCAACCTGAGTTGTCCCTCTGATGTACTCATTTCTAATCCAGAGTATATGAGTATTAGATATGAAAATTTAATTGAAAATATTTCTTTTCATTAATTCAACACATCATAGCAGGTCTTCCTACCATCTTTTCATTTACTCTTGCTGCTACCCTTCTGTTAGAAAACACACTTCAGCACTGATCTCCATCCACTGCACTCTATGCTCTCTTCTTCACCTCTGTTGTGCACTGTCTGGTGATTTTGATGGTTTAAACTCATCCATCTTCACTAAAGCTACTCCTTGCATTTTCACCCATCTCCCTCTCATTCACACACATGTATTCTGTCTTGCATCCACTGTCTTTCATTTCTCTGGAGAGACATTCACCTCTCCAGGCTTTTCTACCTGCTCTCTACTACAAATTTCAATGTCATCTGCAAACATCGCAGCCCACAGAGACTCCTGTCTGACATCATCTGCCCATCACATTGCAAACAAGAAGGGGCTCAGAGCCAATCCCTAATGTAATCCCACCCCCATCTTGAACAAATCTGTCACTCCCACTGTACACCTCAACATCATCTTGCTGTCCTAATACATGTCCTACACATACTGCTCTGCACTTCCTCAGACAGTACCACAATTGCTGTTTTGGTAAAAAAAAAACAACAACAAAAAACCCCAACTATGAATAACATACATTAATTTTGATTGTCTAAAATAAAATACTTACAGTGAGTTCTGTAACCTCCTCTTCATCCTCATCCTCATCCTCCTCTTTAAGATCGTCCTCTTCTTCATCAGAGTTTGCTTTAGGCCAGTACCAGTCTTCTCTCGGAGCAGTTATCCCCTGAAAAGAGAAGAAACCTCAGCTAGGAAATACTTTGTGTCAGTGGTCTATAATTTTCCTCCTTTCACTGGTAAGAGAGTGATTAGAGAGAGACCTGCTACTAACACTAGCACTGTGATGTGCAGAGGAGTCCATAAGGAGCTATACTCATAATTCTTTCCACCTTTTGACTGTCAAGCTGTTCGCAAGCTCGCTGACTCCTCCTGAGGTCTCCTTCAATCTTTCGCTCCTCTCTTTCCGTCCTTACTCTTGACCTGAAAATGCAAAAAAAAGGAAAAAGTTAAAAACACAGACTATAAGAGGGGGAGGGGACAACGTTCAGAGGTAGCTGCATGCTTCACCTGAAATCTTCCAGAGATTTGGTCTCATTCTGTTGTTTGGCTCGTACTTTCTGCCTATAATGCTCCAGTTCCTCTTCAGCTTTTCTTTTCTTCATCTCTTCCATTCCAATACCCCCTCTGTCTGATTATAAACAGAAAAGTGCTGCAATCATTCAGCTAGGCTGCACAAAACATCACTAAATACTCATTTTAAAATAACATTTCCTACCTGTTTTGATATTTAGTGGGATTGGATCAACTCTTCCTGCTCCTATAGGGGTAACAAAGATTAACATCAGTGCACACTATAAATGCAAAGCAAATTCACAATTTAGCGAAGAACAAACTTGCCCTGCTTCCCAAGTCCTTGCCCAGCTTTGTAGCCCATTTTCTGCAGAAGTGCAAACCCTTTGTTTTCATTGCTGATGGAGCTCTGTAAAGCCGCTTCTCGGCTTTCGCTCTCCTGCTCCTTGTAGCTCTTCTGACGGTTCTTAATATTCTTTTCCTTTTGCTTCTCCTCCCTCTTCATTGCTTCTTTTACCCGCCTCACCATGCTGACTCCCGGTTTCACATCTTGACTGACAGTCGGAGCGACAAAGAAAAACGTTACACGGGTGTAAAAAATACCGATAACTATTCTGAGAGCAATGACACCCTGCTTCTTTGTTTTTATAGCTCAATATCGGAATATACTCGATTCAACAACAGTTTCATAGCACTGACCGAACATTGTTGTCAATATGAACATTTTACAGTAAACACCAGAGCCAAAACACTTACAGTTTGCTAAGAAATGCATCAGACATATAGTCTTCTTCTTCATCTGACATTCTGCACAAACTAAAGAGAGAAAAAACAGAGAAAAACAGCAAAAAAAACAACAACTTCGGTTTGTGCGTTTGTATTTTCTTCTGTGGTGTTCTGTTCCTTTGCAAAAACGTTCCGAGTAGCTGCAAGGTACACACAAAGTCTACAGTTCCGCTGCATTTGGCATATATTTCAAAAGAACGTGTTTGTCCTGTGAAATGGACTCGATTAATGTCACGTCTATTTTTGTTTATTTCACAAAATTCTACAAGCTATATGATTTAAGCTAAATTATTTGTTTGGTTTAACATCGGACAAACTTCACAGCGACACCGCCCATAGTCGTCGTCATTCATCCTGGGTCACCGAAGCACAGGTAGGATGAACAGTTTTGCTGTATTTGTCCCGTATTTCAGGGAGTTTGTTGTCACTGAGGAGTACATTTTGAACAACTCAAGGTTGTAAAAAATGACGACGAAGAGCCAAAGTCCTATTTAGTCGTCAGTGTTTCGCGGAGTTTAGCTTTCCCCTTTTAGGAAGCAGCTAGCTTATGTTGCTAACTAGCTCGCGTATTAACAGCTGAAGGATGACAGCTGTCAACACATCACTGCAGTCTTAATATTTTTTGTGTTATTCCATACGAGACTTGAGCGCGGCTATTATAACTTTACAGCCACTGACATTAAAATTACTGACGTACGGAACACAGCGAAGGCATTCCAATGGCGATAATTGGTCCTTAGCATCTATAGGGCTGTTATAACCTGTCCAGCTGATGGATGTGATAGTTTATTGACTGAACAGGCGTATTGTTAGAGAAGAGGCATTTAAATTAGACAACTGAGAGGCCCTGTCATACTGTTGGGTACAGAGTTTGTCTCCTGAGCAGGAATGTCCAACCTGCGGATCAACACAGCTGTTCCCAGTATTTCTCTTCATCCTATAATACAGTATTCCTTTCCTGCTAGGAATGATCTCTTCCATGGTGGCAATGAGGTGCAAGAGCTGATAGAACTTTTAGATGAGCATGAAAATGATTTTGATCATGTTATGTGGTGACTGAGTGGCCTTCACAGTCACCACAGCTCAAGTTTATTGGAGCCATTTCAACAACACAGCTACATATACAACAAGACACATCAAATGACACAATACAGCACAACATACAAAGTACACGTGTATTGAACACATCAACCCATAAAAGTAGTGCAGTGTGTCAGTGTACCTATGTTTAAAGTGATTTTAGTGAATGGACAAACCAGATTCCCTTTAGACAATAAAATGCCTAATTAATAGGTATTTTCAACATTACATGTTACCATCTACAGTACTGCTCAGCCTTACAGTGTGCTTGGTGGTGTGGACAGCTTGGACGGTGCTCTATCATCTGACACAGCTGACTTGATAGTTATCTGAAAACACAAAGGAGGTTGTGGCGCTGTTAAACACAACCCTTCTCATTATAGTCTGCATGATCATACAGAAGAAATTCTGATTTAGTTATTCGAGTAAGGCCATCAAAATCTTACTGATGAAAAATCTCCAAAATAGGCAGAATACTACAAGAATTATCTGAGGAAAACACTTTAATATGCAAATAGGACAGAGTGCTCCATAATAAAAAGTTACGATGAGGCCAAGAGCTTACTCAACCATTACATGCAAAAAGGATTAGGTGAACATACACAGAGATGGACACCTGAATTTTGTTTCTAGGGGGACTCAAACTCAAGTGTGCAATAAAATGATGTAAATAGTGTATGCAGCATCTAAAATACCAGGCTAGGGTCCCACTATTCTTTGGGAACAGTGTGAGCGTGGGGTGGTACCATAGCGTGCATAGTGGAAATACCAACATCAACAATCTACTAAATGGCCAAAACACACTGAAGAAAAATATAAACGCAACACTTTTGTTTTTGCTCCTATTTTTCACGAGCTGAACTTAAAGATCTGAAACATTTTCTACATACACAAAGGACCCATAACTAACCCATAACTGCTGATTAGCACCTTGACATGCCACACCTGTGGCAAAGGAGAAGTTCTCACTAACACAGATTTCGACAGATTTGTGAACAATATTTGATAGTTATGGGTCCTTTGTGTATGTAGAAAATGTTTCAGATCTTTAAGTTCAGCTCATGAAAAATGGGAGCAAAAACAAAAGTGTGGCATTTATATTCTTCTTCAGTGTATTTAATATCAAAAGAACCCATAGGACATTCATGTGTGTATGAGAATCTATCAGTGTCTTCATTTTCTCCAGAGACTTAGAGTTTTTAGTTTTGGTATTATATCAGTTGTCTACTGCAGAGTCTCTTAGGCTATGACAGCAGGTTTGGAAATCTAACAATCAGGAAAGCAGGAAAAATTATAGGAACATAAACATTCCCCAAGATATTTTTTTACGGTTCGATAGGCCACAATATTTTATTAGGAGGTACAACTTCCCTTTGAATAATTGTAGCAGTTATACTGACACAATTGTCCCTTTGTCAGTTAAACTGATAAATGAACAGCTCATGACTGAAGGACAACTCTACTACTACTTCAACTATTTATTTAATTATTTATGCATTCTAAGGTCTGTATTTATAAAAGTGTGCCCAACTAGGGTTTATGCTTTGATTTTTATTACTATGTGTGTGTGGGAGGGGTTTCAATGCAGGAGCTGGCCGATCCAGGATGATTTCCACCTACGGCAGACAATAAAGTACTCTTAACTTAACAGAAAATGTTAAATACCTTGCTGTCCCAGTCTGACTGTTCCTGAAGAGCAGACCAGGCTAATCGAGCTGCATTTTGTTTGGCTTCCTTGATGCTGTTACCCTCACCAACAGGGTATTCCTTGCCATCTATGACTAATTTGTAGGAAAATCTGTTGTGAAACAGTGAAAAACTGGTTTACATCATTTACCAACTGTTAAACATCAGCCAGCATTTAGCAGAAATTGTCTATAATGGCTGGTGAGGGGACGGTCACACTCACTGTCGATTATGAGGCGGTCCACATATAACCTCTTCAATAAACGTGTGGGAGCGGGATGTTTTCTGACAGTAGTGGTTGACAAGACCTATGAAATTTACCTCTGTAAACCTTTTATCTTCAGGTTTCACAGCCAAACTCTTTATCTGAAGGCTACAATATCAAAGAAAAAATACATAAAAACTGAAACTTCAACCACTTTAAACAATACATAGTTTACAAAAAGGCTTCACAGGGATAAAGCATCAAAAAGAAACACTGTTTCAACTCACCAGACATCTGCAACATTTTGTTTTGTTTCCTCCTTTTGCTGACTTGATGTGAAAATGTCTTTCTCATCTCCAGTCTGGAATATAAAGTACAAGTGAACAACATGCTACTAGAACATGCATGAAAATATTTAAACCATTTCTCCAGTTTTCTTTGACGTCAAGTCAGTCAGTATAAAACAGTATGTTCCATTCGTTACCTCTAAAGTGCCACATATATCGTGATATACAAGCTTGGCTGCTTCCTCCTTGGCTTCCCTTCTTGTTTTCCCGGAAGCTGCAGGGTACTCCTTGTCACCAACAAAAAAGTTACACCATCTAACATTAAAAGAAAAATATTAAATAGATTTCAAATAGATTATTCACATCTAAAGTCAAAACTAGATGCATCATGTAGACTTACTGATTTTCATTATTTGGTCCAGGTCTGGCAGCCTCCACGGGCCTTACAATCACCCTGTTCCTTTGACCATACTCATTAAGCCAGCAGGTGTACTTGATGTTACTGCCACTTCTCTGATGAACTGATGCATTAGAAACTTCTGCAGCATTTTCTGTCTGTTTGTAACCAACAAACACACAGCATATTAAAACAAATGTCCACACATACAGTGAGTGAATACAATGGTGCAATGATCTTACAGTATCAGCTGATTCCTCCAACAAGCCCGCCAAGGCATTTTTAGCAGCGTTCTGCTTGGCTTCCTTCTTGTTCTTTCCAACAGCGTCAGGATAGGCTTTACCATTCAGAACAACTCTGATAGTAAATCTGTTGAACAGACAAATACAGTAAACTCCTAGTGTACTTTCCCTACACAAAATATTAAATATGCCATTCTACAACTGGAGGCCAATTTAAGCTTTAAAAATTGGAACACTGTTACTGTATCTTTATATACACGTGGCAAAAAAGTACCCAGGACCACAGAACTTGCTGCTCAAAAATATTCTGTTTTTAACATATGGTTGGGATGTTTTATTTGTACGGTAGGAGGTAAACAAACAACTGTAACAAAATATTACAATTGCATGCAGAGTGACAAAGTTTATGTGTGGAAACAACACACTAGCAAGATACTGCAGGATCAACATACCTGTGGACATTTAGTAAATGGACTAAAGCGACGTACAAAATACATTTACTGTACACAAACGTGCATTTGGTAGCGAGTGAGCGAAAATACAGTGAACTACTACAGCCTACTACGGTTTCACTGAAGAGTCTGTCCTACAAAAATACACACGTATACAGTCTCGTACGACATCCCAGGTCGCAGATCCCATCTGTGTTCAACTTACGTTTTAATGTGGTCAGGGCCAGCAGCTCCAACCTCCACAAACTGGAGCGCCAGCCGCTGTTTCTGTGCATACTCGTTTAACTTAGCTATGTAGTTTTCCATCCTAAGTTTGTCGGGAGTCGGAATATTTACACAAAATTCATAAAAATAGAGAACAAAGTACAAATCTCAAAATAAAACATGGTTTCCGTTTTTCCTTTCCATGTCAGTTTAGGTTTCGTTTTCTCCGTAAACGTCACATGGTGCTTTCAAGTAATGTCCGACATATCAACCACGTTTTGTTCAGTAAAGTTTTATAAAAAAAGAAATGGTTTGAAGCTGTACGCTGAAACTAGCAGAGTTGGGTGGAAGATATCAAAATAAAGTATAACAACAGAGAAAGCGTGAGTTATAGTACAGGAAAACTGAGTAGCAACGATGCTGTTTTGGGAGAATAGCTGTTTGCTTTATCAATAGTTGTTTTAGATTGTTTTTTGTAGTTTAACTAATGTTAAAGCTCGGAATTTTAACGTCAGTAATATATGATTACCTGTTTGTGTTTTATTAATCTTACGTATGTTAGGATTGAATGACTACATGTACCAACATGTTTAAGAGCAGCTCCCATCGCTAAGTTTCATGGGAACTGTAGTTCTTTTGTCAAGCGCCAAACGTAGAGATGTGGCGATGTCATAGTGACAATAACATATAAACCAAAAATCCTTAAGTATTTCAGACATGTAAATTATTATTATTATTGCCCAATTTACGCATCAGAATTTTTTAAAGTAATAGTAATGAAAAGAAGTATGGCTGATATAAACTCACAACAAATCATAGAATATACAAAAAGTCAAAATGGTAGCATTCTTAAAACATTTAATGAAGACAGATAAATACAATTGATCTTGAAATATGTAACACAATTTGTATTCATCTTTATAAAATATAAATATTGAAAGACATCCTAATTTATAAATGAAAAAAAAAAAAACAACCCAAAAAACCGGAAATGTATACAACAAATACAAACTTGATGGTCTTTCAATGAAAGACAGCAGATTAAAACTGGATGATTAAAGAACTTAATTTCTGATCACTTTATTGCCTTGGCTGTTTTTGTAGTCCGATGAACCTGACTCACATATCAAAGTGCATTCACATATACACAATATTTTTATGATCAAACATTTATACTTTTTTTTTCTCTTTACAGGAAACTTGTGCAGACTGGTTTTCATTCATTTTATTCATGGTCTGCTGCTGTATCCCCAGGACAGTTAGCGCACAAGTCCTCTTCATCTGTAAAATAGAAATCAATACATTATATACACATACACAGTATGAGCAATGGCAATACAAAAGAACCTTAAAAGCTACAGCACTAAAGACATCACACCTACCATTATAGGTGGTCCCACACCATATGCAATAAAAATGGACTCCTCTCAAATAGGATGTCAAAATTTGTAGTTTATCAAAAGACTGCAACAGAGAACCACATATCACATTTAATATTCATTGGGATAATTTTGCCATTAAATCCTATAAGATGCATTTATGTTTTTTCAGCTCAACCTGAGTTGTCCCTCTGATGTACTCATTTCTAATCCAGAGTATATGAGTATTAGATATGAAAATTTAATTGAAAATATTTCTTTTCATTAATTCAACACATCATAGCAGGTCTTCCTACCATCTTTTCATTTACTCTTGCTGCTACCCTTCTGTTAGAAAACACACTTCAGCACTGATCTCCATCCACTGCACTCTATGCTCTCTTCTTCACCTCTGTTGTGCACTGTCTGGTGATTTTGATGGTTTAAACTCATCCATCTTCACTAAAGCTACTCCTTGCATTTTCACCCATCTCCCTCTCATTCACACACATGTATTCTGTCTTGCATCCACTGTCTTTCATTTCTCTGGAGAGACATTCACCTCTCCAGGCTTTTCTACCTGCTCTCTACTACAAATTTCAATGTCATCTGCAAACATCGCAGCCCACAGAGACTCCTGTCTGACATCATCTGCCCATCACATTGCAAACAAGAAGGGGCTCAGAGCCAATCCCTAATGTAATCCCACCCCCATCTTGAACAAATCTGTCACTCCCACTGTACACCTCAACATCATCTTGCTGTCCTAATACATGTCCTACACATACTGCTCTGCACTTCCTCAGACAGTACCACAATTGCTGTTTTGGTAAAAAAAAAACAACAACAAAAAACCCCAACTATGAATAACATACATTAATTTTGATTGTCTAAAATAAAATACTTACAGTGAGTTCTGTAACCTCCTCTTCATCCTCATCCTCCTCTTTAAGATCGTCCTCTTCTTCATCAGAGTTTGCTTTAGGCCAGTACCAGTCTTCTCTCGGAGCAGTTATCCCCTGAAAAGAGAAGAAACCTCAGCTAGGAAATACTTTGTGTCAGTGGTCTATAATTTTCCTCCTTTCACTGGTAAGAGAGTGATTAGAGAGAGACCTGCTACTAACACTAGCACTGTGATGTGCAGAGGAGTCCATAAGGAGCTATACTCATAATTCTTTCCACCTTTTGACTGTCAAGCTGTTCGCAAGCTCGCTGACTCCTCCTGAGGTCTCCTTCAATCTTTCGCTCCTCTCTTTCCGTCCTTACTCTTGACCTGAAAATGCAAAAAAAAGGAAAAAGTTAAAAACACAGACTATAAGAGGGGGAGGGGACAACGTTCAGAGGTAGCTGCATGCTTCACCTGAAATCTTCCAGAGATTTGGTCTCATTCTGTTGTTTGGCTCGTACTTTCTGCCTATAATGCTCCAGTTCCTCTTCAGCTTTTCTTTTCTTCATCTCTTCCATTCCAATACCCCCTCTGTCTGATTATAAACAGAAAAGTGCTGCAATCATTCAGCTAGGCTGCACAAAACATCACTAAATACTCATTTTAAAATAACATTTCCTACCTGTTTTGATATTTAGTGGGATTGGATCAACTCTTCCTGCTCCTATAGGGGTAACAAAGATTAACATCAGTGCACACTATAAATGCAAAGCAAATTCACAATTTAGCGAAGAACAAACTTGCCCTGCTTCCCAAGTCCTTGCCCAGCTTTGTAGCCCATTTTCTGCAGAAGTGCAAACCCTTTGTTTTCATTGCTGATGGAGCTCTGTAAAGCCGCTTCTCGGCTTTCGCTCTCCTGCTCCTTGTAGCTCTTCTGACGGTTCTTAATATTCTTTTCCTTTTGCTTCTCCTCCCTCTTCATTGCTTCTTTTACCCGCCTCACCATGCTGACTCCCGGTTTCACATCTTGACTGACAGTCGGAGCGACAAAGAAAAACGTTACACGGGTGTAAAAAATACCGATAACTATTCTGAGAGCAATGACACCCTGCTTCTTTGTTTTTATAGCTCAATATCGGAATATACTCGATTCAACAACAGTTTCATAGCACTGACCGAACATTGTTGTCAATATGAACATTTTACAGTAAACACCAGAGCCAAAACACTTACAGTTTGCTAAGAAATGCATCAGACATATAGTCTTCTTCTTCATCTGACATTCTGCACAAACTAAAGAGAGAAAAAACAGAGAAAAACAGCAAAAAAAACAACAACTTCGGTTTGTGCGTTTGTATTTTCTTCTGTGGTGTTCTGTTCCTTTGCAAAAACGTTCCGAGTAGCTGCAAGGTACACACAAAGTCTACAGTTCCGCTGCATTTGGCATATATTTCAAAAGAACGTGTTTGTCCTGTGAAATGGACTCGATTAATGTCACGTCTATTTTTGTTTATTTCACAAAATTCTACAAGCTATATGATTTAAGCTAAATTATTTGTTTGGTTTAACATCGGACAAACTTCACAGCGACACCGCCCATAGTCGTCGTCATTCATCCTGGGTCACCGAAGCACAGGTAGGATGAACAGTTTTGCTGTATTTGTCCCGTATTTCAGGGAGTTTGTTGTCACTGAGGGGTACATTTTGAACAACTCAAGGTTGTAAAAAATGACGACGAAGAGCCAAAGTCCTATTTAGTCGTCAGTGTTTCGCGGAGTTTAGCTTTCCCCTTTTAGGAAGCAGCTAGCTTATGTTGCTAACTAGCTCGCGTATTAACAGCTGAAGGATGACAGCTGTCAACACATCACTGCAGTGTTAATATTTTTTGTGTTATTCCATACGAGGCTTGAGCGCGGCTATTATAACTTTACAGCCACTGACATTAAAATTACTGACGTACGGAACACAGCGAAGGCATTCCAATGGCGATAATTGGTCCTTAGCATCTATAGGGCTGTTATAACCTGTCCAGCTGATGGATGGGATAGTTTGACTGAACAGGCGTATTGTTAGAGAAGAGGCATTTAAATTAGACAACTGAGAGGCCCCGTCATGCTGTTGGGTACAGAGTTTGTCTCCTGAGCAGGAATGTCCAACCTGCAGATCAACACAGCTGTTCCCAGTATTTCTCTTCATCCTATAATACAGTATTCCTTTCCTGCTAGGAATGATCTCTTCCATGGTGGCAATGAGGTGCAAGAGCTGATAGAACTTTTAGATGAGCATGAAAATGATTTTGATCATGTTATGTGGTGACTGAGTGGCCTTCACAGTCACCACAGCTCAAGTTTATTGGAGCCATTTCAACAACACAGCTACATATACAACAAGACACATCAAATGACACAATACAGCACAACATACAAAGTACACGTGTATTGAACACATCAACCCATAAAAGTAGTGCAGTGTGTCAGTGTACCTATGTTTAAAGTGATTTTAGTGAATGACGTAGAGTCTAGATTGCAGAAGGGAACAGTCCACAGTGCAAGAGGTTAATTTAATATTGCAAATGCATGATACATACGTGTAAGTTTTGCTGCATAATATGTTCAGATTCTGGGCGGCACGGTGGTTAGCACTCTTGCCGCACAGCAAGAAGGTCCTGAGTTCAATGTGTGGAGTTTGCATGTTCTCCCCGTGTTTGCGTGGGTTCCCTCCGGGTACTCCGGCTTCCTCCCACCGTCCAAAGACATGCAGCTTGTGGGGATAGGTTAATTGATTAATCCAAATTGCCACTAGGTGTGAATGGAGTGAATGTTGAGTGCGAATGGTTGTCTGTCCCTGTGTGTTAGCCCTGCGACAGACTGGCGACCTGTCCAGGGTGTACCCCGCCTCTCGCCCTATGACAGCTGGGATAGGCTCCAGCGCCCCCCGCGACCCTGAAAAGGATAAGCAGAAGCGAATGGATGGATACATTCAGATTCTATGATCACAACTTGCTGTAGGTAAATTGAAACAAAAAATAATAGAAGGTTCAGCGTATATTTAAGCGCCTAATAGCTTGGAGATAGCTACTATCTCTGTTCTTGTAGTAATACCCCTGTATCTTTTGCCTGGTGGGAGATGATTAAACAGATGATGTGTAGGAGGGGACAGTGATGATGCTTCTACCTCTCCTGGTGGTTCGGGTGGCATAGTGTGGAGCTATGAAAGGCAGACTACAACCAGTGATGTTGGAGGCTCAAACTTTTTCCAGGCTGCTGTTTGTCCTGATTGGTTGTGCTACCTTACCAAGTCAGGTTGGAGATAATAATAATAATAATGATAATGATAATGGTTTGCAGCTTCCCAACTGAACCCATATTTTCCATACATCTCTACTTCTGCCAAAGGAAGTAGAGTCTCTGATGGGCTTTGTTAACAGTGAGACTGGTGTTTAAGTTCTGTGATAAAGACTGGCATATAGTGGTGCCCAGGAAGCACTCTTTCAACAGACCTTGGCCAATGAAAGGAAGATGTTGGACTTCTTCCCTTCTATAAAGTCAACAGCCTTTAGTTTTAGATTTGCTCAGGATCAAATTGTTGTCTTTGCACCCCCTCACCAGCTGTTCTGTCTCACTCCGGTATGCAAATTCATCACTGTTAGAGATAACGTCTACCACACTGATACCATCACTCAGTCTAGCTGAAAACCCATTGAAGATTTTGTGCTAGTAATGCTCCCTACTGCTATCATCAAAATGCCATATAAGATTATTTCTAAGAGAAGTGGTGCTCCAGTCTTTCACTTTAGTCAAAAAGACTTGTAGATTCAGTGTCAAGTCACACTGAAGCTGTTTGAGCAAAATATGGTCTACCGACTCCTTGTGTTGCAACAGTATATTAAGCTTTTTGTTCCTCTAATTTGTCACGTGTTCATGAATCATTGCAGAGAGGAGGGCGCACGTCTCTGTGTTCAAGGTTCCTCACCATGGAGCTGGCT